CATTCGCCAAAACGTGGTCCAATACGAGGAGCCAACACGCAACGTATTGACACGGGCGTCTTGCACACGGGACGTGCTGCGTTTCAAAACGCGCGTATCGAGGCAGCTATGGTAAGGTTATCCTTGGGGGGCAGCCGAGGCTCTCCAGACGCCCCGACGGCGTGATGTCTGCCGCAGCCCCCAAAAGTCTGGACCCCTTGGTGGGCTTGTTCTCCATCGCCACCACCACAAGCAGGAGGGGGAGGGGGTCGTCCTCCTCCTCCTCCTCCTCCTCCTCCTCCTCCTCCTCCGCCTGCTCCTCCACCTTCTTCCCCCCTCCAGCTTATGGTGGCGGTTGTGGAACACCAGATCATCACACCTTCCCCGGGACCAATTGTTCATCCTGAGACGCGTGCTGACGGCCCCAGGGCCCGGCAAGGGCTCCAAGAGCCCGATCATAGCGAAACACCGCCCGCCATTTTTTTGTCACGGCGCCAAGGGGTCTGGGTTGCTCGCCTCTGACCAACAAGGCCGCCGGGAGGAGCGGATCGGGGACTCCAGATTTTGTAATAAAGGGAGGGGGGTCTCATTTCGGGGGGGGTCTCTTCCAGGCTATCTTGGAGGGCCTGGGGGGGTCTGGGGACGATGTTTTGGAGGGTTCTCCCACGGGGGGGGTCTGAAATGGCTTGTCTTGGAGGGTCCAGACCCCCTCCCTTTTATTACGAAATCTGGAGGACCTATACTGAACTGGGTCCGTCCAGACCTTGGCCAGTCAGGCTTGCAAGATCCGGCAGAATCCCGCAGGATCCTGCGCCCTGGCCCGGGTCGGTGCAGCCCTGGCTCTGCAGGACCCTGCGAGATCTGGCGCTCTGGCTGAGCCCCGCTTGCATTGACCCCCGTCCCTTGAGCCCCGAGCGCAACATCTTGGCTACACGCAAGAGTGAAGGGGCCCTGGGACACACAAACAAATGTACACAGATAACAGAATTCCCAACATATTCCCATATTATCTGGGCTTGTCTTCCCCCCCACTTCCCATATTTTCCCATATTTGCTCGGGAATCGACGATTCATTGTGTCTGTGTGTTGTTTCCTCCTGAAAGGGTGACCCTGGGTAAAACGCGCCCTTGGAGCGCGGCTCTTTGGGGGGGCCGCGTGGGGACCACACGCAAACGCGCAGGACGCTGCTATCGCGCCGTCGCGGCCGGCGATCGGGGGACCCCACTGGGCCCGACCAAAGGTCACTCCAGCGAAGGGAACACTCTGACGTGCAGTCGAACAATCGAGGCCTCCTAAATGGGGCGGGGTGGATGGGGTCGCAGGGCGATGCATCGGCGATGTATCGACGATGCACTGGCGATGCGTCGTCGACGTCGGCGATGCAGCATATGCATCTCGGCGGCGCGCAGGGGGGGTAACCTTCATAAAAAGAGGCTGCTTCCGAGAAGGTGCCGGCCTTGCATGTATAGGCAAGGCCCGCGCCTTCTAAGAAACAGGGGTGCTTCTAAGAAGCCTTCCCCCTATACACCCCTCTGCGCGTGGCCGAAAATCGGGCTTCGCATCGAACGGCATCGCCGATGCAGCGACGATGGCGCGATCCTCCGACCCCAGCAGAGGCCTAGAAATACGTCTCACCAGCGTAGCGGAGGCCTGGAAACATCTGGGAGGCCTAGAAGTAGGTCGGGCGTGCCCCCCTGAAGGGGGATGTTGGAGGATAAATCCCCCAAGCAGAGCTTGCCTCTGTAGGGGTCCTAGCGGATTAAAGGGTTAGGTGAAACCGGTCGCCGATTTCGGTGGCCGGGCCCGGGTGCCCGGGTGCCCGAGTGCCCGGCGGTGCTCGGGAGAGATGCGGTGGCCGAATTCGGTGACCGGTGAGATGTGTGGCCGAATTCGGCCGAATTCGGTGGCCGGGCCGGGGTGCCCGATGGGCGAATTCGGGCGAATTCGAAGCCCGGGTGGCCGGTGAGATGCGTGGCCGAATTCGGTGGCCGGGCCCGGGTGCCCGGCTGCCCGGGGGTGCCCGGGTGCCCGGGGGTGCCCAATAGCCCAATAGCCCAATAGCCCAGTAGCCCTATAGCCCTATAGCCCTATAGCCCTATAGCCGTATAGCCCTATAGCCCTGTAGCCCTATAGCCTTATATCCCTATAGCCCATATAGCTCTATAGCCCTATGGCCGTATGGCCCTATAGGTCACAGTCCTACAGCCCTATATCCCTATAGCCCGATAGCCCTGTAGCCCTATAGCCCCATAGCCCTATAGCCCTCTAGCCCGATAGCCCGCTATAGCCCTATCAGGGAGCAATTGGAAGATAAAAAAAAACTGATTGGGGCATTTCTCCGGTATCATAAAAAAAGACTCAAGCATGTGCAATAACAATTCCCCAATCAGAGCTTGCCTCAATAGGGGTCCTAGCGAATTCATATGGTTCGGTGATGTCGCGGACGATTTCGGTGGCCGGGTCGGGTGCCCGGGTGCCCGGGTGCCCATGCAAGGTCGTGGCCGATTGCGGTGGCCGGGCCGGGTGCCCGGGTGCCCGGGTGCCTGGTTATAGCTCTATTTATAGCCCTATAGCCCTATAGCCTTATAGCCCTATAGCACTATAGCCTTATAGTCCAATAACTTTACAGCCATATAGCCCTTTAGCCCATAGCCCTATGGGCCTATAGCCATATAGTCCTATAGCCCTATAGCCCTATAGCTCTATAGCCCTACAGCCCAATATTCCAATGGCCAGTAGCCCAATAGCCATATTGTCTAATAGCCCAGTAGCCCTAAAGCCCTGTAGCCTTACAGCCCAAGAACCCAATGGCCCGAAAACCCTGTAGCCCTATAGCCCTATTGCCCTTTAGCCCCATAGCCCTATAGCCCAATAGCTCAATAGCCCAATAGCCCTGTAGCCCTATAGCTAGTGATGTGCGCACCTATGGCTTCTAAGTGAACTTATTAAGGTTTGGCCTCCTGAGCTGTGAAAAGGGCTTAGAAAACGAATGTATACATATGCCCCAGCAGAAACGTTGAAAATCTGGACGCGCGCGCTGGAATGTTAATAATCCCTCCGCCACATACATACTCTTTGTCACCGACGCACTTGCTTTTCGACAGGCGCAAAACATTATTTTCCTGGCGGCCGCGCTGTTAAATAGATGTCAGCAGATTGACATTCGGGCGCGCGCAGAGGAATATATACCGACTTCACGCGGCGAAAAGAAAGCATTTGGCGCGCGGGCGCCCAAGTGGATCGATCTCGGAAGCCCCATGATGATGACATTTAGGGTTTTAGGACGCACTCGCTGCACTCGCTTCACGTCCCCCTGGGGCTTTGGTGCACGCGGGGCTGGGCCTAAACTTAGCTAAGAGCCTTAGGACTGCCAAGGCCCTTAGCTAGGTTTGTTAACATTCCAGCGCGCGAGTCCAAATTTTCAACGTTTCTGCTGGGGCATATATATACTTTCCTTTTCTAAGCCCTGTCACGGCTCAGGGGGCCAAAACATAAAACGTTCACTTAGAAACCATAGGTGCGCACATAACTACCTTAGGAGTACCGCCAGCCCTCTGAGCGCAGTTGATTTAGGGGGCTTCCTATTCCACCCATTCTTCTTCCCATTCGGGGAGGGGTTTACCCATCCCCCTGCCCCCCCCCCTGGACCTGGCGCTGGGCGGGGGGTTTTGCGAGTCGCTGGAGCGCCCAAAACGGCTTCAGCGAGGAAGCCAAACTCATTGGTTTTACTGAAGTGTTGGCCCCATTCTAGCCTCTTGGGGGGGCTCGCTAGTAAATCCCCCCCTCTTTGTTTGATCGATCTCCTCCAAGATGGCCCCAAGAAGCGCACAGGAGGCCCCAAGAGGTCCCAATATGGCCCCAAGATGGCCCCCAAGAGGCCCCCAAGAGGCCCCCAGGAGGCCCCCAGGAGGACCCCGAGCGGCCCCAACAGGCAAGGGGTCCCCCCGAGGCACCCAAGACGCCGAAAAGCCCCCCTCGACCCCACGACCGACAAGAGACCCCCAAGACGTCCCAAGACGCCCAAGAGATGCCCCAAGAGGCTCCGAGAAGCATCACAGAGACCTCTGGACATTTTGCTTGCTCCCCTCCTCCTCCTTCCTCTTCCTCCTCCTATCCCTTCTCATCCTCCTCCTTCCTCTCCGCCTCCCCTCCTCATCATATTCATCCAGGGTCAGGGAGGAAAGGGGTCCTGGACGTTCTGGCTTTCTTCGCCCTCTGGAGGCCGCCGGCCCTCAACTTGAGGGGCCCTCAACGGGCCCCAGGGCCGTCAAGAAACGACTCGGGAAAAAAAACCATTTGTTTCGGGCTCGTTTCCTCCAGGACCCCACTCCTTCATGACAAGATCTCTCTTCTTGTTCGCCGGCGCGCGCGGGGTCGGCTCGGCCCATGGGCGGCGGCCGCGGCCGCGCGGGCGCCTGTCACGCCGCGCCGACGGCGACCCACCCACAAGGCGGGGCGGGGTCGGGCCTCGGGCTTGCACATATCTACCCACAATCCCCCCTGTTGATTTCTTTTGCACCCCTGGGCCCCTGGGCCGCCTAGGCCCTAAGGCACTGGGGCCCCAGGCGGGCCCCAGGTCACCCCAGGCATGCGGCATCAGCTGCGCACAAAAACACAAAACTCAGGCCGACAACTGCAAAATGCGATATTCATCTACTATCTACTTTGACTTGAAGTCCTGGCTCGGCCACGGGGGGAGGAAGAGGAAGAGTGAGGGAGTGGTGGGATAAGCAATCAGGCAGGTTAGGCATGAGACAGCATGAGAGGAATGAGGATGGAGGAGAGAACGGAGGAGCACACTTCCCATCAATGTGCTAAGGCGGCCTATAGCAAAACCACAGCGTGCCGCTGAGGCCGAGGCCGAACCAGATATATATATTGATATATACACTTGCGCACGTGCGTGCCGCATGTAGGGATCTCAGCTCAGATACGTCATCAAATGATCAAATGATGTGCGACGCGACTTCCTTCCACTCCTTTGCAAGCACGTTTTCCTCGTTCTTGTGTGGTTTGAACGCCTTGGCGAGCTCCGCTGTCTTGGCATTGTACTTCTTGCACCCAGCGGGGAGGAGAAATACCTCCTTCACATCATCCCAGGGACGCGTCAGCTCGAACGGGCCAGTGGTTGGAGTCGTGCTCGTGCCTGGCGCTGTGGCCTCGGGTCCAGTCAGTTGGAGGTACGGCATGCTGAAACTAATCTTGTGCTTCACTTCTTTGGCGATCAAGCTCTCGGCGTAAACGAACTCGATTGTGTGTTCCTTGAACTTGAGCTCCATGGTTGCCCGCTCGGTAGGCCCCCCCGTGTCATTGTTGATGCCGATGGTTCGGACCAACCAAGCAGCTGGGAAGTGGGACAACAGGGGGGGCGACTTCGGCAGCGGCGAGCGGACGTAGATGGGGGTGTTGTCGAACGTGCAAACCTTCCAGCACCCGAGCGTCGGTACCAGGGTGAGCGGGCCCCAGTAGTTAAGAATCGTGAACTTCTGCTCTTTCGCCCAGAGCCCCGGCGTCTTCAAGCTCGGGTCGTAGTAGCAGTTGTCTAGGCCATCGTCCGACGTCGCCAAGCGCTTGAGCATGGCAGCCTCCGCCATCACACTTTGCAGCTTGAAGAGCAGGCACTCCATGATTGAGCAGCGGAGCTTCGCCGGGATAGCACTCGCACTCGTCGTCGAATGGTCTTCGGACCCTGTCGCTGCCGCTGTCGTCGTCATCAACTCGCCCCACAAGGCGCCGTGCTCGGTGAAGCGCGCCTCCACGTTAGTAAACTTCGACAGGACGTCATCGCTCAACACCTTGGGCTCATCGATCGCATTGGGGGCGGTCTGCTGGGTGGTAGCTGGATCCTGGCCCTGGCCGGCTGCCTTCATCGCCTCTTCGACGGACTTGGCGATGTCCGCGGCGGTTCCAGCCCTCGCAGTGGAGATCTCCTGCGCCAGGAAAGACTTCAGCGCTTGCTGGTCCGAGGCGACCTTGAGGGCGCTGGACCAGAAGTGAGTGAACGACTTCTTCTGCTCGTCGCCTGCCAACTCCTTCACAATATCACAGCTGGCGACGTCGTCTATGACTTCGGTGAGGTTCTCGCACCTGTCCACGATGTCCTGCTTGCTCTTGCGGTCCCTGATCATCGGCGGCGCCGCGACCGCTCTCACCAGCTGGATCACGCATTCGGTGCGCACGATGCAAAAGTACCTGCTGCGCTCCATGTTCTCAAATATGTCGGTCAGATCCTCGGGAAGCTCATCCTTGCCGTCTAGGGTTATCAACAAATTCTGGGCAGTCTGAGTGAACTCCGTCCCGAACCTGGGGCGGCGCACAAATCAAGCACACTGGAAAACTTTATGTTGAGGGCACGGGTGGGAAGGCGGGAACAGGCATCGGCGGTGGAAATAGAGAGGGGGGAAGGGGGAGGGGGAGGGGAAGGAAAAGGGCGAACGGGGGAGTGCCCCTGGCCCCTGGGGAGGAGAGAGGTGAGAGGAGGAGGGAGGGGGAGAGGGAGAGGGAGAGGGAGAGAGGAGAGGGAGAGGGAGAGGGAGAGAGAGGGAGAGGAGAGAGAGAGAGAGAGAGAGAGAGAGAGAGAGAGAGAGAGAGAGAGAGAGAGAGAGAGAGAGAGAGAGAGAGAGAGAGAGAGAGAGAGAGAGAGAGAGAGAGAGAGAGAGGGAGGGCAAAGCCAGTGCGCATGGCGGAGGGGAGGTCTGGTGGCACCCCCTGCTGATGGCGCAGCTGCAGGACTTGCGGCCGCTGCCCGCTCCTCCCCCCTCCGCCTCCGCCGGCCCCTCTCGCCGGCACTTCCTCCTCATCCTCTTTACTCCTTTCCATCCTTCTCCTCCGCCTCATCCTTCCTTCTCCTCATCCTTCTCTTTACCCCTCTTCACTCCTTCCTTCTCCTCCGCCTCCTCCTCCTCCTCCTTCTCCTGCGGACTTCTCCTGCTCCTCCTCTCCGCCCTCCCTCCCCTTCCTCCTCTTGTCAAAGCCCGTCCACCGAGGGGCGTCGCTCGTGAACGCGGCGGCTACGATGGCGACGATCTCCCCCAGGGTCATCTCGTCGCGCCCGGACTTCTTCAGCTCCTTCGTCTTGCCAACGGCAGAACGCAGCAGCTTGGACAGGACCACGGGAAAGCACTCGTGGGTCTGAAGAGGAGCCGAGCAGTCGTTCGTGTCGAGCCACTTCTTGATCTTATCTTTCATCGAGATCAGATCGCTCTGGGCCTTCTGGATGCGCTCCGCAAGCACCTTGGCTTCAACTTCTTGGCGCCTGGCGACCGCAGGATCTCGGGCGGCTGGACTGGCGGTGACGCTGGCTGTGTTTATGGCCCCCACGTGGGCCCTTGCGATAGTCTCCTTCAAAGCGTCACGAACTGTGGGCCACTTGACCTTTTCATCATCAGTATTCTGGATCGCGAAGTCGGGCGGCGGCTTTTCATCGAAAATGAAATACAACGACTTGCTGTACACGTCCTTGATCACGTTCCAGTCGAGCTTCTCGTCTGGAACATGCTGGATGCAAGAGGCCACATTAGCGTACACGTCATCGAGCAGTCGCTTCCCCCTCGACGCAGGCTTCTCCGGCCCCGACGCGTCCATCAAGGGCGCGGGCGTGGCGATCGCATCGCCATCCTCGTCGACCTCCATCGCCTCGTCCTCGCCTGACACGGCCGACGCGATCTCCAATTCATCTCCTTCGTCCGCGTCCAACATGTCAATGTCGTCGTTCTTGGAGGCAGACAGGGGGTCGTTCTCCGTTGAGGGGTTCTGCGGGGACTCGGAGATTAGCTCGACTGTGCTTGTCAGGGTCTCCTCCTTCATCTTTGAAACTGCTTTGCTGGCCGCCGCCCCTTTCGCATCTTTTTTGGTCTTCCTCCCTGTGGTCGTCTTAGCCGCGGCGCCCTTCGCTGGCTTCTTGCTGCCTCTGCCTTTGGACTTCTTGCCCTTGCCCTTGCCCCTGCCCTTGCCGGTCGTCGTCGCTTTGCCGCCATCCGTCATCGACGCCTCGCCTGCCTTGTTCTTCTTCGCGCTGCTGAGGTAGAGCGCCGTCCCAGACATCGGGCATTTCAAAACCTTGATGGCCACCTCTGCTGCGGACTTGCTCTTCAACAGCCACATTGGATCAGAATCGTCATCATCGGCAACTCCGGGGTACACGAACCTCAAAGCTTCTTGGAGAATGGCGTCTAAGTGATTCTTCGGGATAGCATCCGCGAACTGGTTGATTGTAGTGAACAGGTCGTAGTTGATAAGCAGCACGTCCTCCACGCTGATCGCTGGGTTGCCCATGTCGCACTCCTGCTCGGCCCTCTCTTTGTAGATCGTGAACTGCTTGCGTTGGACCATGGACCGCAAGAAGTTCTTGGCCTTGAAGAATAATGGCCAATTCCTGAAAGCCGTCCTCCTGTTCTCGCCGATCCACTTCCAATATTGCTTCCTGTAGGTGTTTGGCCCTTTCGTTGGCAAGTTCCTGGCCACGATGCCCTTATCTTTACAATTCTTGGCCCACTCGATCTCTATGTCCTTGCATGTATCATATTTCTCGAGGTACGAGGTCTGAGCTCCTGTATGAAACTCGTTGTGGATCTCTTTCAGGTACTCGCAGATGAAGGCCGGAGAGCGCGGGTGGAACACTTTGACCTTCAGACCGTTCTCGAGCGTCGTCTTCACGTACCTGTTGGTATGCTTGCGGCGGCAAGCCTCGTAGACTGCCTCTGCTAAGGTGGCGTGGCTCAGCAAGTGGAGTTGGTGCCGCTCGATGTTCACCACGCCTGTGGATTTCTCCGAAGGGATCGCCCAGGCCTCCCCTCTGACGCCCTCCATCAAGCCCTTCTTCAATATCTTCCTGACCAAGTTCTCACGGTAAGCGGCAAAGTTCCTGTTGTTCATCTTGTGGCGCGCGAATACGTCTTGCCCGTTGCTAGTAAAGAATGGCAACCTGACGTCGGGGTTGCTCGGGTCCATAAGGTAATCCCTGAACACTTGCGTCTGTAGCTCGTTCCCAGAGAGATCTCCGTATGCCTCTTGCATCGTTCGTTCCTTCCAACGGATATCCCCTCCTGCTGTGCCTGACGCGTCGCTCTGCGGTCCTCCGGCATAGGGGGCGAGCATTGCGTTCGGCACGCGCGATCTGGGCCCGCAGTAGATGTTGTTGTCAGGCCAAAAAAATATGCAGCGCCTGCTTCAAGAGCTCGGCGCCGAATACCTTGAGCCGCAATGGCTACGGAGACGGAGACGGCACCCGTAGGCCGCCGCCCCAAGATGGAGGCCCCCAAGAGACCCCCAAGATGCCAAGAGACCCCCTCAGAGGCACCCGCGATGCTCCAAGAAGCCTCGGCGAGAATGCCAAAACGGCCTCGGCGAGGAAGCAAACATCATTTGGCATGCCAAGGGTTTTGATGTCATTTTGGCCCCCTGGGGGGGGAACGCTAATTAATGCCCCCCTCCTGTTTGATCGATCTCTTCCACGACGGCCCCAAGAAGCGCCCCGGAGGCCCCGAGAAGCCCCAAGATGGCCCCAAGATGGCCCCAAGAAGCCCCGAAGAGGCACCATATTCCCCCAAGAGACCCCCAAGAGGCCCCAGAGACGGCACCAGAGGCACCCAATATGCTCCAAGAGGCCTCGGCGAGAATACCAAATCATTGATGTCACGAATGTCTTAGCGACATGTTGGCATCTTGGGGGCGGGCACTGATTAAAATCAAGAGCGCCTGGGAGAGCCCCAAATGACCTCCAAGATGGCTCGAGATACCCCGCGCTGTCTCATGATGGCTCTCTCTGCGTGTTGCATACTTCTCTGATCGAGGCAATTCCTCTAGGCACACACCCTCTCTCTTACTCTGCGGTTCGCTAATGACGCCCCAAATGTGGGCTGCCAGGCTCGGGCGCTTCAGGTTGAACGTCCGCGGGGGTCGCGCGAGAAAAAACCTCTCGCGGCATCCTCCGACGCGGGCTCAGAGGGCCTCCTGCGCTTGCGAGAATTATTAGCGGCACTGCTGGCGCTACTGTGACTGCTTGTATAGCTTACTGCGTTCTGACGGAAAAACAATGACGCTGTTGCGTCTCGCGCACCATCCCTGTCCTCGTTCCGAGCACTCAGCGTCGTTGGCATTGAAGGGGGTGACGCGACAGTGCCCACAGTGATGGGCCTTAGGGGAGATAGCGGGAGGGCCCTTGCGCGGACGCTCTTGGAGGCGACAGCGCGAGGGGGGGAATCGTGGCCCGTTGCCGGAGGCGCGGGCTGGATAAACAAAATAGACCAAAGCATGGCCAGGCCTATCTGGTGGCAATTCATGGCGTTGCCAGCCTGCCTCAGAACGTCGCAGCGCTGCCTTTGAAAACTGCGCCGCGGTATATCAAAGGAAGTAACTTCTGCGTGAGCCTTGGCTCCTGGGACCACTGGGAAACCTTGGAGAAGTAATAATTCACTCGGGGTAAGCCACCTGAATAACTTGAGACCATACAGTAACCCAACATTTCTGATTATTGTGGGAATCGCACTCGGCCACCCCATTGTAGTCCAAGCATGGGCGTTCTGATGCAGGTCGATGACGACATCTTCATCGCACGATAATCGCATGTACTTCACAGCGTTCATTAGTTCCCAAAGTGTCAGACTGTCTGTAAACTGTGACGCAGCTTTGAGGCGTGCCATATCAGCCAGGAGAATGTCGTCGTCCAAAAGTTCCCAAACCCAAGCTTTATCACTGTTCTTCGCCTCCTCGAGCCCGCTGTGTATATCACGCCTGTACAGTGTCGTGGGTCTGCTGCGAGCCCATTCTAATTCTTCGCTAAGATCATGTTTGTTATCCTGTAGGACGATGCGCCATGAAACATTGGACTCTCGACGAAACAACTCAGAGAACCGATCCCACTCCATGCCCATCACGATGTTCCTCTTGTGGATGCCTATGGTGATGCGGCGCGACCTCCTGTGAGGCCAGCCCTGATCAGTAAGCTTGCAAACGACAGTGCGAATGATGTACTTGGCAGCCAAACAAGCCAGGACGATGTGAGGCGGGAACCTCTGCACGTTTTCATTGATAAATATGTCCTCTTCTAGCTCCCACCGCATGGCAACCCAACTCATCGTCGCCATCAGATCATTGCCATCGACGCCCTGACCGGCACCTTGGCTAGACCAGTCTGGGCAAGGTGTCCCACCGACTGCGCGCGATGCCGCGCGGAGCACACAAGACGATGACATATGTAAACCACAAGTTGCACCAGTCATAAGGACAGAACCGCCACGAACAATCGCGCGATTGAAATCACCGATAGTCCACCACTCGTTAACGTCTAATGCGGGATTCCAGAAATCATTTATATCGCAGAACATGCACTGAGGACCTCCTGGGAGGATGGCCAGCTCCCGCCTGCATTCTTGATCCCATTCAATTGCAAACAGAACGTTGTGTTGCTCGTATGCTAAGCCCAGATATTTCATTATTCCATGTAAGGCTGTCTCTGGCGCACCAATCCCAGAGAACGCTGTCGATAATGTAAACCCAGGAAGTAATCCATGCAACCGATTCCTCACCTCGATGGTAGTGGTCTGCGTTGCCCATGCAGCAAAATCGACGCTATGATCCACCCAGCTAAATAATTCGATCAATGTGTTAACTCGCTGCAAAGGTGGAACCGATCGGATGGTCAAACGATCTGCGTCGCTGGCAGCACGAATGACAGAGACAACGCATGTCAGCAAACATACTTGCATACGCCAGAACATCGCTGCACGAACATCGCGCATGCAGCGCATGCGAACTGAACGTGATATGTAAACTCTAGATGGGGCCAAAATTGGCTACAGCAGTTATTGAATACTGTTGTATATGGCCGTCCTGAGTCACCTAACTTCGCGCTCCACGGCGCGCAACGCGCGGTCATCTTCGCGCCGCCGCCCCCGAGACGCGCGGATCTTTGGGCCAGACCACGACGCGTGAAGCGCTGATATCTTAGCGCGCGCGGCGGCGACCCACGCGTCAGTCATGGGCCCCTGGGAGGGTTGGCTGTTGAAGGATTTTGCGTCGCGGGCCCCTGGGAGGGCTGAGCGTTGAAGGATTTCGCGTCGCGGCCCCTTGGAAGGGCCGGGCGTTGAAAGATTTCGCGTCACGGGCACGTGGGGGGGGGCTGGTCGTTGAAGGATTTCGAGTCACGGGCCCTTGGGAGGGCTGGCCGTTGAAGGATTTCGCGTCACGGGCTCATGGGGAGGGGCTGGCCGTTGAAGGATTTCGCGTCACGGGCCGCTGGGAGGGCTGGGCGTTGAAGGATTTCGTGTCACGGTCCCGTGGGTGGGCTGGGCGTTGAAGGATTTCGCGTCACGGACCCCTGGGGGGGGCTGGCCGTTGAAGGATTTCGTGTCTCGGGCCCCTGGGAGGGCTGGGCGTTGAAGGATTTCGCGTCGCGGCCCCCTGGGAGGGTTGGCCGTTGAAAGATTTCGTGTCACGGGCACATGGGGGGGCTGGCCGTTGAAGGATTTCGAGTCGCGGGCCCCTGGGAGGGCTGGTCGTTGAAGGATTTCGTGTCACGGGATCTTGGGGAGGGGCTGGCCGTTGAAGGATTTCGCGTCACGGGCCGCTGGGGGGGGGGCTGGCCGTTGAAGGATTTCGCGTCACAGGTCCTTGGGGGGGCTGGGCGTTGAAGGATTTCGCGTCACGAGCCCCTGGGAGGGCTGGCCGTTGAAGGATTTCGTGTCACGGGCTCTTGGGGAGGGGCTGGCCGTTGAAGGATTTCGTGTCACGGGCCGCTGGTGGGGCTGGCCGTTGAAGGATTTCGCGTCGCAGGCCCTTAGTGGGTTGGGCGTTGAAGGATTTCGTGTCACGAGCCCCTGGAAGGGCTTGCCGTCGAATGATGTCGTGTAACGGGCTCTTTAGGGGGACAAGGAGAGGGTGGGATATCTGAGGATATCACGCCACGTGATTATCTAACTGTCATCACTTCGCATGCTGTGCAATGGACCACCCACGCACTGTGAGCAAAGTTGAAACGTCCTAGACCCTACCTGCTCTGTCCAACGGCTTGAGACAATAGCGACAGGCTAAACCCACATGCCTGTCATTGCAACATCTGAATACCTAGGGCCTGGTTCAGTGGCTGCCTCACTTCTACATAGCTAATGAGGCCCTGGGTTGCCAGATGCCGAAGACGCGGACGACGATGAGCCTGGCCATGTAAGACTTAGGCGAGCCTGGCCAGCCTGAGACGAGCTGTAGTCCTCGGTGCTCTGGGAGTCTGAGTCCGAGCCCTCATCATCGCTGTACAGGTCAACTGGTGAAGGTCCAGGTGAAGGGCCGCATTGCACGCGCACGATGCGCTTGTCCTTCCCTCCCTCCTCCACTTACCTCCAACTCCGAGTCCTCCTGCCTCCTCACCTTTCCTCCTCCCCCTATCCTTCTCCGCCCTCATCCTCTTCTCTCTCCGCCCTATCCCCCCTTATCGACATGGTCCTGTGCCCGCCAGAAGTATCCGTCATGTCTCGGGTACTTGCCGGCGGCCATGCGCAGCAGGCAGCTCATGCGGTACTTAGTCCGCACGCGCGTGCACTCCTCTCGGATCGGGGCTGCTCCTCCGATCCTCCTGCTCCTCCTGCTCCTCCTCCTCCCCCTCCTCCACCTCCTCCTCCTCCTCCTCCCCCTCAGTCCTTCTCCCCCTCAACTTCTCCCACGCCGCGAGGGCTCCTCCTCACTCCCCTGTTTCAAACGCAAATCAGTCCTCCATGAGGCCGGCTGTTCGGGCCCCGCGGGTCCAATGGCCGCAGACCGAACGCAGCAATACGTCGCAACAGTTAGCGAGCGTGTGCGTGGCGTGCGGCATGCCTGCCTCTGAGTGCCAAACTAGGCTTGCGAAGCTGTTCATGATCCAGTCCGGCCAAGCTGGATCAGTATGCCAAACCTCGCCTGTCGCCAGACGCGGGCAATGGCCGAGACAAGGCAAGTCAGCAGGCCGAATGGGAGTTCTCAGGCCCCCGCCTTGCTCTTGACGGAGGCGGTACGGCTGGGGCGACCGACTGCGATGGCGGTGGTAGTTC